GGGGGCGGGGCTTGGGGAGGAAACTGAGGCAGAAGGGACGGGGCCCAGACCTCCAGCTAGCACATCTATGGGGTCTTAGACCACCTGACCTGAAAGGGCAGGGTAGTCTCGGGGTAGAGGGATCTGGGGGCGCGCAGCATATCTGAGTGCCGGGAAATTAGGGTCTGAATCTCCGGGACTCCAGGGGTGGAGGTACCTGGGGGCTGGACTCCAGGGTCTAAGCAAGAGCAAGCCGGGGACCAGATTCCTGAGTTTGGGGGAAATAGGGACCGGAGACCTGGATCTCGGGGTCTAAGAGAGGAGGAGGAGGAGACTGGGGGCCTGGACCCCTGAGTCTGATGGGGGCGGGGGCTGGGAGCCCAGGCTCCTGGGACCTCAGGAAAGGAGCCTGGGGGCCCGGCCTCCCAGTCCTGGCCGGAGCAACACCCGCGCCTCTGCGCACCCCACCCTCCCTTTTCCCCACCTCTGCGCCAGAGCAAGCAGCCACTCCAGGTATGTGCACTAGAAGTCTTGGGCGGGCCCCGGCCTGTCCCGTGGTGGGGGAACATTCCTGGAAGCTGCCTCGGGGACCCAGGGCCTTCTGGAGTTCGGGCCCTCTGGGACCGAGTGTCCAGACCCGCCCCGCCCCCGGCGCGGCGCGTCTGGGAGATGAATGGGCCGAGGAGGAGGTTCTAATCTTTTCCAGCCTCCTCCGTACGCTGCCTCTCCCCTCCCTGCCAAGCTGCTCCCCGGCTCAGCCAGGAGCCTTCACCTGGGCCCTGTAGGGGACCTCTGGGAAAGGGGGAAAGGGGCATCCGGCTCTGGGTGCCTCATGTCGTGAGTTCGAATGCCAGAAAGCGAGTGTCAGGGTCTCAACCCTGCCACCACTTGCTTATTCCCTCCTTCTCTCTAGGTGGTTGCCCCCTCCCTCTCCTGAAATGTCAGGGAGGAGGGGGCCACCTGTGTCCCCCACAGGGGCCCCCTGGAGTCTGGGGGCCCCCAGCCCGGGAGCTCGCTGTCCGAAGAGGTGCTGACAGGTCTGGTAACCTTACACTGCTCCTCCCCCCCCACACACACCCTCATCAGGATACCCTGGCCCATAGAGGAACAACAGTAGCCTTGCCCACTCCAGCATCTCCCTTCGCCCACCGCTGCGGAGAGGGGGTGTGTCTTGCCTTGCTCTGGGCAAGTTTTGTTACCTGCCAGTCCCCACCCCCCCACCCTCGGCTTGATGTGAGTCTCCCCTAAATTTAAATACTCACACCTCCTCCAAGCAGCTAGGTTTGGGGTTCCTCAGGGTCCTAGAGGCAGGACAAGCAAGTGGATTGCCTGGTGTGGGTTCAAAATCCCATACTTGTCACTTCCTGACTGTGGTGCCATCCAGTGCCCTGCAGGAACCTCTCTGACATGTACTCATTTGTTTGCCTTTGTTGCTGCGGTTGTCAGTTGCCACCGAGTCCTTTCCGACATGAGGTTTTGGGGAGATTCCCAGGCCTTCCTATCCAGGCGTCTCCAGTTGGGTTTCCAGCCCCTAACCTATCAGCTAAAAGCCCTGGTAGTGTCATGGTTACTTATTGGGCTGTGATCTGCATAGTTGGCAGTTCCAAACCACCAGCCGCTCCCCAGGAGACAGACTGGGCTTTCTACTCCTGTAACTAGTGTCAGTCTGGAAAACCCACGGGGTTGGGGCACTGTGAGTCAGCGCTGGCTTCATGGCAAGTGAGTTTTGGGAACATTTCGGCTAATAGTGGAGCCCTGCACTGCCACCCACCATCTCCTCATTATCACTAACAGGAACCGATCATTGAGGATGTATCTAGAATCTGGACATTCCCCAAAGTCCCCAACAGCTTCCCAGACTGATTTGGGCCACCCTCTTTTCAGATGGGGGTGTGTGCAAAACGTTTTGTGACTGTTGCCCACAATCCGGGTATCTGATTTTGTGGGACTCCTTGGTGTGAGGAAGCAGCCGCGCATGCAGGGGAATCCTGACTCGGGAGTCTAAAGGAGAAAGGAGATTAGGGGCTCGGACTCCCAGGTCCCAGGGGGCAGTATTGCCCACTTTAGGAAAGACTGTTCTAGAACAAAGGCCTCCACCCCTGCCCTGGTTCTGTAAGAGCAGGCCCTGAAGCTTCTGCATTCCTCTCTAACCCCAGCCCCGCTCCTTTCTCCCTCCAGGTGTTTGCAAGATGCCCCCGCAGCCCTCAGCCTCCCTTCGTATTCTCCTCCTCTTCCTCCTCCCCAGCATCTCAGGGGAGCCCCGTCCCCCACCCGTACCACTGCCCCCATTTTTAGCCCCAGAGTGGGACCTCCTATCCCCTCGAGTTGCCCTCTCCCGGGGCGCTCCTGCGGGACCCCCACTCCTCTTCCTATTGGAGGCCGGGGCATTTGGGGAACCCTTGAGCACTCCGGCCAACCGCAGTCGCCGTGGGGTGAGCGAGACAGCGCCGGCCAGTCGCCGGGGCGAGTTAGCGGTGTGCGATGCAGTCAGCGGATGGGTGACCGACCGCCGGACTGCTGTGGACCTACGTGGGCGCGAGGTGGAAGTCCTGGGCGAGGTGCCTGCGGCCGGGGGCGGCCCGCTGCGCCAGTACTTCTTTGAGACTCGTTGTAAGGCTGACAGTGCTGGGGAAGGCAGCCCCGGCGGGGGTGGAGCGGGCTGCCGGGGCGTGGACCGGCGACACTGGGTGTCCGAGTGTAAGGCCAAGCAGTCCTATGTGCGGGCGCTCACCGCTGATGCCCAGGGCCGCGTGGGCTGGCGATGGATTCGAATCGACACTGCCTGCGTCTGCACCCTCCTTAGCCGCACTGGCCGGGCCTGAGGGAAGTCTGGGAACTGGACAGACCATGGAAGAGGACACTTGGATCCTGAGGGACCTTTGTGGCAAGACCAGGCCACGCTGGGCGACTCAGTTTGCAGACCCGTGGATGCCAGGACCCGGTTTTCTGTTGTACAGGGCAAATGGTAAAACCCAGTGGGGTATTGAACAATGAATAGGACTTCTACTGGAAGAACTTTGACGATGGTAATCAATATTTCCTGTTTCCTGTTCATCAGCCTTAATACATAACTCCCCAGAGAACTGTAGTCAATTTGACCATTTTCAGAGGACACCACCTGGCCCACCCTGCAAAGAGGGATAAAAAGGGGGAGAGATGGCAATAAGGGGTTAAAAGAGCCTAGAATCAGCCAGAAGGCTTTGAGCACAGGACCTCAGGGAAGGACCTTTAAGTCTCTGGGAACAGGGGACATCCATGAGAAAATTTGCTTGGTCAGAGGGGGACCAAGTGTTGACTTTAAACTTTTGGAACTCTCTCAAACACTCAGCGATCCACTCGGCACAGGAGGAGTACTAGTAAGGTCAGATGATAGTAAATGAAGGTGCTAGAAAGGTTGCCAGGGAGGTGGTGTTAGCTTTCCACCTCTCCCATTTCCACCTCAACCTTTACCCCACTCTGGGAAAAGAACAGGAGCCCTGGTGGCCTAGTGGTTATGGGGAGGAGTTCAGCTAGGAACCACAAGATCAGTAGTTCGAAACCACCAGCTGTTCCATGGAAGAAAGACGGACCTCTCAACTTCCTTAAAGAGTTACAGTCTGGGAAACTCGCGGAAGCAGTTCTAGCCTGACAGTAGAGTCACTATCAGTTGCCACCGACTTGATGGCAGTGAGTTTGGCTTGGTGGGAAAAGAACAGATCTTAATGTTGTCCAACTTGACTAATACATCGGGTTGGGTTAGACTAAGGATACGGACTGGGGTAAGGGCTCACTGGGACACTGACAGGTCTTAAGGAGGACCAAACAAGAGAATCCAACCAGAAAAGCTCCTTGATTTTCCCTGCTAGAAGAATGGCTTGGGGGGGCAGAGAGATGAGATTATGGGGACCAAGAGGGCAAAAGCTTTAAAAGGAGGGAGGAGGGGTGACAAAAGGTCTTTAAAAAGAGAGATGAGGGGCCAAGGGCAGACCCTAAAAGCCCAGGATACCCCTACATGTATAACCACTCCATAACCCTACCCACAGTACCTACGCATACACGTATACACTCCAAACCACAACATAAGACAAATCCACTGGATAGTCAATTTCAAAGTTTGATGACCTCATATATTCCAAAATAGATCTCCATTGGGTTTCTTTCTTTTTTGCTGTAATCTTTAGGGAAGATTGCCAGGCCTCTCTTCCGTGGCTTCAGTGGGTCTGAACTGCCAACATTGAGCTTAGTGGTCTAGGGCAACCAGTTGTCAACACTCGGGGGCTTTGACTCCTGTTTCAGACGTGCTTTTAGGGGACACTTTGAACTAAGGTTATAGGCATTTCCCTCCTGCCCTGCACCCCCTCCCCCTCGCACACATCAATATAGACTGGATTCTTGTTAAAGGTTATGAGGGGAGGTTAGGAGGCGTCTGGCTGCCTCGGTTTCTCCATCTCTGCCTTTTATAATCCCAGCCCTCACTTCCCTTGTTTCTCGTGCCTGGGCTATGCATAAACTCTGTCTCTGGCCTCTACCTCCTTCCGTTGTATATTTCACTCTCACCAGTTACGTTATGTTATTCCTCTTTCCACTCGCCCCCCTTCCTGCGCTAAGTATTTCTCTGTGAGTCTCTCCCTTGTCACCCACCCCCATTCCCAGGTGGAAGTTTTCATCCAAATCAAAGGCAGGCAGGGCCAGGGCGGGCCACACTCACTGCAGAAGTCTGGAAATGGTTACTCCCAGAGCGGGCAGGCTGGCAGAGGGTGGAGGCCAGCCAGCCGGCGGCTGGGACTCCCGCCTGCCCTTGATCCGGGTGGGGTGGAGTGGGGGGTTGCCTGGAGGGAAGGGGGGTGTTCCTCATGGCATTGCTTATTCTTTGGGTGGAGGGTCCCCCTCCCATTTCAGAATCTCTGAGCCCACCCCCCAGGTTTCTGTCCTCTGCTGACCCTTTCTGAGTCTCTGGCCCCCCTCTCTGGGTCACCTTGCCTCTCTTCTCTCTGAGTTGCGGATACCCTCTACGTCCCTACCCCTATCCTATCTCTGGGCCCCTATCCTCCTCTCTGAGTCTGTGTCCGGTCCCGGTCCCCACCCCCCCGCGTCTTGTCCTTTTTATTTTAAGCCTCCCCATAACTTTCTCTCCATCTCTGCCTGCCTCGGGAGTCCCAGTCTCTGCCCCTGGGGTCACTTTTCTCTGGGAATACAGTCGCATTCCGGCAATCCCTCCATTGGTTAGATGTGGGGTAGGCGGGTTCTGTTACCCAGGGCAACGGCCACAACAAGCCTGATGCGACTAGGCCACTGCGTGGGGGTGGGGGTAGGGCCATGGCCGGTCGGACTCTATCTCTGCGCTATGGCCAGGTGGGGCCCCCCATCTCTGGGACCCAGGCGCCTACACCTGGGCCCAGCTGGCAGCTCACCAGCAGCGGTGTCGGCCACCACTTTATCCCACCCGTGTTCTTCACGCTGCCCACAGGCCAGGTGAGAGGGGGCCCTGCCTTGTCAGCTGGGGGGATAGGGTGGGGGCGAGGGACATGCTCTTGTCTGAAGGAGAGAGAAAAAGAACTTGGATGCAGTTGAGAGGACACGCGGCGCCCCACGTGTGTGTCTCTCTCCTCCGCCCCCTGACATACGGCGCCTCTTCCCAGTCCACGGTCGTGGAGCCCCTGCCCCTGGTCGCCAAGCAGGGCCAGCACATCTGGGATTTCGATGAGGTCATCAGCAGGTGGGAGACCACCTCCGGCTCGGCTTATGTGCCCAAGACCCACAGCGGCCCCTACGCGCAGCCCAAGGCCCCAGAGCCTGCGGACCCCACGCGGACTATGGGGATCAAGGATTTGGGGGAAAAGGTAAGTTTCTGGGGCTCGGGAAGCTGGGGGAACAGGGTAAAAGACAGCAAGAGACAAGGTGACTCTAAGGAACGGCTCCCAGGCTATCTCGGATTGCGCACCTCCCCTCCAATTTCAAGACGGACCTCAAGAACATTAGTAGAGGTCAGCGCGTTGTGCTGCCTCCTTCCTCTGGCCATCCCCGGAGAGCCCCTGCTCCCTCACTTAAGAGTCTCCATGTCGCCTCCCTACCCGCAGCTCAAACACTGCGCCTGGCGCCTCCCTCGGATCCGGGTTCCGGAGCACTATCTCAGCGAGATGAGGGAGAACTTCCCCAGCTGGCCCAGTCTCAACCCGCACGCCACCTTTGACACCGGGCCCCAGCCCCTGGAGCTGGTGGACCACCACCACGGTGGCCCTTCCCAGGTCTTGCAGCTGGGGTGGGGAGGCAGTTTGGGGGGCTGGGCTGGAGCCCTGGTAGTATAGTGGTTATATGCTATGTGCAAGGTCAGCAGTTCAAAACCACCAGTCACTCTAAGGGAGAAAGATGAGGCTTTTACTCCCCTAAAGTATTACAGTCTTGAAAACCCACAGGGGCAGTTCTACCCTGTCCTATTGGGTGGCCATGAGCCAGGATCAACTCGACTAGAGTTTGGACTGAGTAAGGTTGGATGGCTTCTGTGGCCTGGGTGGGGTGGGGACAGGTAGCTAGATGATGAGCAGGTGAGGCCAGACGGCTTTTTTGTTTGTTTGTTTGTTTGCTAGGCATGTGGCCTAAGCGGCTGGGAAAGAGCTTGGGTTTGGCGTGGGAGGGGGCAGGGGACCAGGTGAGAAGGGCGAACCTGTATATTTGCTGCCCCGTTGATCCTGACTCTTAGTGACCTGTAGAGTTGCTATGAGTTGGAATCTCTGCCCCTATAGGGCAGAGCTTCTGAGGCTGTAACTCTTAAAAAAATCATTTTATTGGGGGCTCATACAGCTCTTATTACAATCCATGCACATACCCATTGCAAGCACATCTGTCCATAGGTTGCCATCATCATTTCCAAAACATTTTCTTTCTACTTGAGCCCTTGAGGCTGTAACTCTTTATGGGGGGTAGAAAGCCCTTTCTTTCTCCAGAGGGCTGCTGGTTTTGAACCACTGACTTTGCGGTTAGTCCCTCCCAAGGAGTAACCACTGCGTCAGGAAATCCAGATGCTGGGTTGGAGGTTAACTAGTAGAATCTGGGTCCTGACTAGGCAGGGTTGGAGGC